GTGATTCTCAGTGTTGGCGGCACCTGAGCATCCCTTGGGAGAAACTTTAAAGAAATCGTAATGTTTGACCTCACTCTTAGAGACTTTCATTTAGTTGTTTGATAATATKAGATTTCAAGGAATAATGTAGGAAAAAAGAAGGGGTCATAGTGGGAATTTGAGAGGAATGAGTTCCAGGGCTGGCAGCACTGAGCTGGCGGAGATTGGGTTTGATGAGGTAGCCATTCACTGGGAGCCAGAGGTCTGGGCTGGGGCCTTGGTGGGGCAGGGAGAAGACCCACATCTCCAGGCAGTTTGGCCTCAGAGTAAAGGCAGGGAGGGCTGGTGGGAGGAGAACAAAGAGGGGAGTCTGAGGCTGACCCCAGAGAATTGGCCCTTCAGAAGAAGGTGGAAGAGCTTAGACTTTCCAGAGATCCCAAGGAACCCATAGGGAAGTCCTTCATGTCTCATGAAAACCTGTAGAATAATGTGATGCCACATGAATGTCATTAGGCAAGCCATTTGACCCCACCAAGGTCTGTTTCCTCAACTCCGGAGTGGAATGAAGATATGTCTTGCTTTAAGATGTTGTGATGATCAGATGCCACTTCAGCCAGGCTTGATAAGTATCCGTTTTTTCCTGTTTCCCAAAAGAACATGTTCCTTGCCAAACCTCTTGCCTTTGCCTTTATTTTTTTTTTAGTTGTAGGTGTACACAATACCTTTATTTATTTATTTATTTATTTTTATGTGGTGCTTAGAATCGAATCCATTGCCTCGCACATGCTATGCAAGTGCTCTACCACTGAGCCATAACTCCAACCCTTGCCTTTGCCTTTTAATGACTGTACACAAACCTAATCCTCTCACATGGTGATAAAATCAGGCTGAGTATTTGAAATGGTTATGGGTGTGGGATTGTGGTGATTGAGAGGGGAAGAAGTTTGAGAAGAGGAGGAAGAAGAAGGCTGGACCTAGTGGCACCAGGAGGGGATCAGGATAATCAGCCACAAGATCTGGCTGGTGATGAGCAGGGGAGCCAGCTGATAGTGACACAGTGTTAGCCACAACTTATCAGTGACTTAAAGTTTGTCCTTTTATACAAACTGAGTCCCTAGAAGTGTTTCTCCTGGATTTTGGTAGAATCCTGTTCCTGTGACTCAGACAAGTGAGACTGGGGTATACCTCTGAGTGGCTGCTGGGAATCATTCCCTGTTCTAATGACCCATTCCAGCCAAACTTTTCACAGTACAACCAGGAGGTAGGATGTAGAGCAGCACACATCTTCCCCACCCCAGCCCTGTCACCTGTTGTGCCCCATGTTAGGTGTTGTAGGAGATGCAAGACAGGTACCCAGGATCCTCTGGTCACACACTAACTGATAGAAGACCAACAGCTTCCAAGAGCCCCTACATGTATAGTAGCAGGACCTTACATTCATGTTTGTTGTCCTCAAAATACAATTGGGGAAGTCCTTCCTCTTATCTCACTGTGTCCTAAATTTCTTTTAAAAGAGCCCAGATTATCTCCCATTGTGGATTTGAAACATTTCAAGACTCCTTGAGGAGCAACTGTGTCTCTTCTCTGTAAGCTCTTTGTGTAAGCTCTTTGGCCTGACTGTAATAAAATTACCTTGTATTACCAAATCTTCCTTCTTTTCCTTCCTTTTTTTTTGTTTAGAAAAATTGTGCTTTTTTTCTGTGATTGTATTCATTTGATATTAAGAGCTGGGGAATTTTTATAATACAGAAACTCATCTCAAACCCTACCTTCTTCCTTATTTCAGGCCATACCCATCAAAATGTCTGTCATTCACACATAGTATATTGCATCAGATGATATTTTACACATAGCAGAATTCAACAGCATTTGTCTGAAAAATTAATATTTTTGCACTGTCATTGGTGGTGATCATTTGATGTTCAAGGAAGTTCTTGCAGAACTGAAATTAGCCTGGTGGATAAAGTTCAGCCTAGGCAGTTAGTATTCAAAGAGTCCCTGTGGCATAGGCAGTTGATGTGCACCAAATAGCTGTATGCTGCTATGTCTCCCAATTTCCAGGGCCACAAGGCTTGTTCTGGACAATGTACTGTGTTTGGGTGTCACTTGCAGGCCAAGGTGATTAGGAGCAGTTGTGCCCCCTTCAGGACTTTCTGGTCTTGCTCCACTTTCTTTGAATAGTATAGATACCAGGAGGTTGCTCTTCCCATAATAAACTTGTGGCAGGAAGTAAACTTTTGTGTGTGTGTGTTAAGCCACTGAGATATTTAGATTTGTTGCAGTAGCTGACCTTAACTACTCTGATTAATGAAGTCCCTGACATTCTAGTTCCTGTAATGTAGTAGGTGTCCCAAAGATATTTGTTTAATATATGATTGAACTAATAATGAATTTGTTTTAGGCAGGAGGAGAAACAAGTTCCTTTCTATACATGGAACAATGGTTGCAAAAACTGTAGTACAAAGTCCTGTTTTGGGGGAAACTCTCTACCTGTTATTAGTTCACATAGTAGTTTATTAGTTAAAATAAACTACTCTTATTATTTAGTTCAACTTAATGTAACAACCATTTACTGAGTACTCATCCATTCAGATGCTGGGAACTGGGGAAAAAAATTCTTGTCTAGCTAACAGACCCTGTAAAGCAGAAGCTGAAGAGACAAATGTACAATAACCAAGTTAGTAGCTAAGGCTCATACTTGAGCAGAACCCCCTTAGTGAGGCCATCCTGACATTCCCCTCCTGACACTTCCTATGGTTAACCTTTTCTTCCTGGAGCTCCATACATTATAACAGGTATTGTCTTTGCTTTGATATACTTTTAAGACATGCTCATGCCTGTCTTCTTGACTAGTGTTTATAGGTGCTGACAGGGCTGGTTTGGGGTCATGTTCTTTCTGCAGGTAGGCAATAAATGCCTCGTAGATTAGTGAGCAAAGGGATGAGGAGTGCATATGCTCAATCCTGTAAGAGTGCTCTGGTTTTTCTCTGATTTGTGAGATTCTATTTAATTTGAGAATGTGAGAAGACTTCAGGAAAGATTGGTGGAGAGGGCAGTTGCGGTGGTGAAGCAGGGCATTTTGGGGAGTAGAATCAATGGGTCTAGGAAGAGAAGTCAAGGAAGGTAGGTGAAGGAAGTGTGATGGCACTGGTGTTAGGCTGTCATGTCTGTACCCAGTTAATCTGGGAACCAAGAATCATGAAAGGTGCTTGGACTTTGAAATGTGTGAGGAGGTGAGAACTGAGACTGAGAGTTGGTGACTGAAGATTCCCCCAACCTTTAGCCATAGTCAAAGGAGCAAATGCTTTAAAGAGATGAAGGACAGATTGAGAAAGGTGATGAGTGAGAAGTGATGGAAAGTTTTAGTCTTTGAATCTGGTTGTCAGTGACCCAGGAGGGACATAGAACTTGACAATGATCAGAATCAAGAGTATATTTTCCAGGAAGGGAGGATAGAGCATAAGGGAGAAGGGARAAAGAAGGAGGGAGAAGGAAAGAGGCCCATCAACAGGGCATGCTTCCAGGTGGGGTGGTATGGGGCCTACAGAACCAGTGGAGGGTTGGCCTTGAGTTGGAGAGGGGAGGGGGTCTAGTTCCACACAGTAGAATTATCAAGAGGCAGAGAGAGATTGAGTGGACTCACTAAGGATAGGATTCCCTCCATGGAATAAGGCAAGGTAGGGTAGTGGCAATGAGGTTTGGCCATTTATGGGAGTATCTGGAAGCTTCCATGTGTGAAATTGTGATGCAGAGAAAGTGAGAGATTAGTAATGTTTGGGGGGGCCTAGGGAAAAGGTCACTGAGCATGAAATCATGGGATGTTATGCTTTAGTTTTGAATACGAGGTCAATCTTTTTTCTTCACCTAGTAATTAAAATTAGGGGTAGCCATCCATGTCTTACATGTCCTCCCTCTGACCTCTCCTCTCATTATATAGCACAATCACTGGTGACTCTAGCTTTCTTGCCTTTGGCCAGGTTCTACCCCACTTGCTTTCATGGAGTCAGTGATCTTATTGATCCTGCAATGAGTGGCTTCCACACATGGACTAAATAACTCAATTCTTATAGTCTGACACCTATCTTCTACTTCTTTCTGAAAATGAACATTAATTAGTTGAATTGTTTTTTGCAATTCAATTTCAAGGACTCCACATTCTCTTTACAATTTCTTGCAAATTTATATCCATCTACCTGGTTACAAGGTACTTGTTTCAAAGACACATATTTTGGCCACCGCTTGGATCCACTGATAAGGTTGCCCTATTTTTTTATTTGCTTTTTAAAAAATAAATACAAATAGACCTCCTATAATATCCAGAATGCAAAGTTGCTAAGACGTATATTTGAAATAATTATCTTCATTAGAAACAAGGTTTAACTTATTCTATCCTTGAGGATGAAAGGATATCACATTTGTAATTATATTTTCATGCTGACATCACTATAATCATAATTTTATCTTCTGACACATTGATTATTAGGAAGAACATACCTGATGTTCTTAATTTCAAATGCAGAAAAAGGAAATTATAATGTAATGGTAATATTTTTGGCACTTATAGAGACTTCACCTTTTCAAAGAAAAATTTAGTTGGATTGAATATAATTAAATTCGTCCTTGATAAACTTTTATGCCTCTAACAAAAGACTTAACATCCTCCTTCCCCACTCCCAGGTCTGTGCAGGCAGAAGTGAGTCACATGCACAGGGAAGCAAACAATTTATTTTCACCTGGAGAAACAGTTTATTCTAGCTATCACCAGCCAGCTCTTATAATAGACCTGTTCTTCTGGTGGCCTGCCTCCTTACTTGCAATTCCTTCAACTTGGTATGGTTTCCCTCATTTTTCCTATTGCTCTCTTTGACAGAGAGCCAACTTCTCTTATTTACACCTTTTTTCCTGGGCCAGAGTGGCCAGGGTCACCTGCAGAGGCAGGAGTGTGGCTCACTCTGGGCAGCAGGATGGATAGCTGCTTGGCCTGTGCTCGCTGGGTCCTGCCCACGGTGCATGGTGCCTACCTGGAAGGCCCAGGATGGTGAAGTAGGGCCGACACTCRGTGAACCCGGAGCTCTGCCTCACGCAGCTCCTCCAGAGTCCTTCATACTGGAACACRGCGGTGACTGGGTTGTCATACAGGTCCTGGGTGCTCCACATGTCCATCTCCGTGGCAGCGATGCAGCCCGCCAGACCCAGGAGGGACAGGAGGAACCCCGCCACTTGGCACGTGGTGGTGGACATGGCCTCAGCACGCTCGCCCTGTGGTGCTACCAGGGAGAAGCTGCCGCCCTCCTGCTGCCCAAGCTGTGCACCGATCTGCGCCTGAGGGGACCTCTGCTAATCAGATGGTTTCCCTTGGCTCTCAGTGTTTGCTTACTCTGTTTTCCTTAGATAGTTCAGTTTCACTCCTCATTCAAGGGCATTATTTTTTCATTTGTTAGGGAAGCAGCCCCAAGAGGCACTTGTCTGGCTGAGTCACACAGCCCCAGTGGATTCCAGTACTGGGTGGGCGGATTGGACAGGACTCCCTCCTCAGGGGTGGTACCAGCCTCCCCAATCCCAACTCTGGCTTAACCCCAAATAGGCCACCATCTATGGAAAACACTGACATGCCCACTACCACTGAGAGCATCACTTGAGACCACTCTGTCTGACCTCATTTAAAATAAAAAAKACCTAGGAAGCTCCCACCTAGCTCCATCTTAAACCAGAGCTTGGCCACTCCTATATTACCCTTCACTTACACCTTTCTATTTTGATCTTACAGAAATGGGCAGGCCAAGTGTTATTATTCCCATATGATGAGTAAATGAAGTGAAAGTAGGCTAAGGAATGTGTCCAAGTGCCTTGATGCACAGATGCTTGAAGGACGRCCAAGGTGGGGTTCCCACTTTGACTTCCAGTCTAGCTCTCCTCTGTTTTTATGAGCAGTGGAGAGGGGCAGGCAAAGTTATCTCTACTTGTGAGAACAGGAAACCAGGGCCTAGAGATATGCTCTCTTCACAGGTACTGGAACTGAAATGAGAAGCCAGGAATACCTTGACCTCCATCTTGTTCTGTCACTCATGTCACAAGAATCAGGTGAGGGTCAAGAAAGGGACAGAGAAGGTGCTCTGAAGGTCCAAGGAGGGGCCGAGGATAATTGGGCTAAGGACCCTGACCTGGTCACTGAGAGACTTAAGATCTACTCTTGGCAATGTCACTAGCGCCTGGTGTGTTGGTGGTCTACTCCTTGTAGGTCAGGTTCTTCATCTGTAACTGAGGACTAACGGAGAACACTTTCAGATCTCACACACTGTCTTTTACATTTGTTAGAAAGGCTTCCACTTTAGTGGTCCAAATAATAGAAACTGTAAAATCCCAGTAAAGAGCACGTGGCTGAAGAGATCAGGTGTTGGGTTCTGTCTCTACAACACAATTCTCTTAAGAGAATTGATCAACTGGCTGCTTCCTGAGGGTCATGTATGTCTGGTCTCTGAATTCAGAGTCATTTTAATTAGATCTCTGCAAATCTGGATTTCAAGGCCCTGAAATATATGTACCCATACATGCCCCCTTCCCTCAGTCTCTAACCATGACAGATTCTCCAGGAAATGAGCCCTTTTGTCTGGACATTTCAATGTTATCTTGGGTGCACCCAGCCATTGCTTTCATGACTTTATTCCCAGCAAACAGAGAAGGCAAATAATCTGAATGGAGGCAACATTACCCTCGACTGCACACCTTACCTGTGATCAGTGTTGATAGAGAATGAAGCATGAGTCAGAAGACCCCAAATAAGGGCACAAGGAAGAGTTATATGACTTAAAGTGAAACTGTGCTGATGTCTGCGTGTTCCCTGAGCTGAGCTACAAAATGCTAAATGGCAGGGAAGGGGCAACCAGAAATGACACTGGTTTCTGCTGGTGGACAGGGATTGACCAGTTAAATTGGTTAAGTGTTGTTGGAATAATTAAGGAATTATTTTGCTACTCTTTCCATGGTCAGGGCCATCTTACTTTTCATTGAATCAAGAGGCAGTCTTTTTTTTTTTTTTGGTGCTGAGGATTGAACCCAGGGATGCTTAACTACTGAGCTACATCCTCTGCCCTTTTTGTATTTTATTTAGAGACAGAGTCTAGCTGAGTTGCTTAGGGCCTCACTGAGTTGCTGAGGCTGGTTTTGAACTCATGGTCGTCCAATCCCAGCTTCCTGAGCCATAGGGATTATAGGCATTCATTACTGTGCCTGGCAAGGCAGGCTTTTATATATTTTTTTTTAAAAAAGCTTATTGGTTTGGTTTCCAGCTATCCAGTTTATGGTATTTATCCATAACCTCTTCCCATATGTTGGTTATAATGCCTCCAAAACAACAAGTCAGAAACAGAAAAATAAAGAAATAGGTTGTTATAAGATATGTATTCTCATTCATGGCAGTTTCTTCTCCAATTTCCTTATGTAGATGTTTTATGCCAAATTTTAAAATCAGATAAAAGTTACTCAGGTATAACTTAATAATGAATTAAGTTTTTCTTCTTGGTTGAAATGTGGCAGTGACTTTATTTATTTATTTTTTGAAAGAAGGAAAAGTTAATTTTAAAGGGTAAACTAAAGCTGTCTTAACCCAGGAAGAAAACTGAATTAAGAAAGAATTATAAATCTACATACTTCTGTGTTTTAAAACACATATAAGGTTCGAGTTTTTACTTTCTTGTCAATGTTTGTGCCCTGAAATGAGTGGACCATTGTGTTGGTTGACTGTGCCAAAGAATGGTTGGGGATCCAAGAAGAAGATCTGATGTCCTTGTTTATGGCAAAGGTTTCGTTGAAAGGAATCAAATGTTAAGCTCTTGCACTAACTCACTGTCTGATTCTGTTTAGTATAGTAGGTTTGGTACAATGTTGTTTAATCACCTTTAAAATGGAACAAAATGTTTTTCTGACTTCCTCAGGGAAATCATCCCTGCATTCAGGTTTAATTATGGTTGTAGTAGTATCATTCCAGATTGTAAGTTTCTGGGAGCTTATGTTATTTTACTGACATTGGAGAAATTATTTCCACTACTTCTGTTAACAATTTTTTAGGAGTATTAATAGAACACCTTTTGTGGTAATTAGGCAAAAATGGTGGTACAAATAGCAATATAAAATATTATAGCCAGGAATTAGGAAAGAGTAAAGCTAATTATACTAACTAGAATTAATTGACACATTAATTTTTCTTTCAATAGATTACCACAATGTACATATTCCTAATTTCTGATTCTACATTTTGGTGTTCATAATAGAAAAGTTGGAGAAAATTTTAACAAATCACTCATAATTTTAACTCTATACAAAACATTTGCCAGACTTCTTTCATTTCTGTTCTCTTTCTATATTTTTTATGAGATTAAGGGATTATATGGTTTGATGTCTTGCTTTTTCTACTTCATTGTAGTTATGTAAGCTTTTGTAGATGTAATTTAGTATGAGTGTATTAATATATAAAGGTATTATTATTCACCTAAACAGTGTCTCCTCCTCCTCCTCCTCCTCCTCCTCCTCCTCCTCCTCCTCCTCTTCTTCTTCTTCTTCTTCTTCCTTCTTCTTCCTTCTTCCTTCTTTCTTCTTTCTTCTTCTTTGTATTGAGGATTTGACACATGGTCACTTTAGCACTAAGCTACATCCCAAGCCATTTTTATTTTGGGACAGGGTCTCATTAAATTGCTTAGAATCTTGTTAAATTGCTGAAACTGGCATCCAAATTGCTATCTTCCTGTCTCGGACTCCCAAGCCACTCCGATTACAGGTATATGCCACCGTGCCCAGCGTGTGTCCATTCTTATATAGGTAAATTGTATCTTCCCTCAGTTTTCTTCTGTATGAAAGCAACATTATGATGAACATTTTACATGTGACCCTTTGCCAGAATTTCTGGTGACTTTTTTTTTTTTTGGTACTGGAGAATGAACCTAGGAGCACTGTACCACTGAGCTATACTCCAGCCATTTTTAAAATTTTATTTTGAGAGAGTCATGCTAAGTTGCAAAATTGTACCAAACCTATTATACTAAACAGAATCAGACAGCGAGTTAGTGCAAGAGCATTACATTTGATTCTTTTCAACAAAACCTTTGCCATAAATAAGGACATCAGACTTTGAACTTGCTGTCCTCCTGCCTCCGGCTCCTGAGTTGCTGAGATTACAGGTGTGCACTCCCCTGGCCAGCTCTGATTCTTTTAGGATAGTTTCTTAGAAGTGTGAAATTTCAAAAAACTCGTTTTTACATAGAACTATGTTGCTTTTTATGAATTTTATTCCTAGCAGCAGTATTTGGAAGCCCTTACTCCACCCTTACCTACATTGTGAATTTGATATTATACATGATTACTTATTTTAATTTGCATTTTTGATTACTGAGTTAGAACTTTTTTTTTAGAAGTAGTTGGACACAATACCTTTATTTTATTTTATTTATTTTTATGTGGTGCTGAGGATCGAACCCAGAGCTTCACATGTGCTAAACAAGTGCTCTACTGCTGAGCCATAATTCCAGACCCTGAATTAGAACTTTTTAAACAGATATTTAAGAATATTTTTCCTTAAAAACTTCAGATATTCATTAGAGTTTCAGTATTTTTCCTATCAACTTATATGAACTGTTTGTTAAGGATCTTAGGACATCATAAATAATTATAAATTATAAAATTTATTTATATTCATAAAAACAGCTCAGTTGTTTGATTTTAGTTTCATTTGTGTTTTTAGAAAGAAAAAACATTCAATGTGTCTCATTTGTGTGCTCCTTGGTGCCTGGTGCATAAAATGTGCTCAATAAATATTTGTTGAATGATGTAGTAAAACAAATTTACTTTTCCTTCTCTAAGCATTGTGTTCATGCTTAGAAAATTATTTTCCATTTAGGAGATAAAATTATAAAAATTTAAAAATATATAAAAGTATTTTATGTGTTTTACATTTAATTCACCTGGGATTTATTTTGGTATGCATTTGAGTTGATACTATCATTCTTTTTTTCCTTCCAATAAAAGCTAGTCATTAATCTTGTAGCATTTATTGAATAACCTTCCCTTTTCCCCATTGCTTCGTAAAACTTTCTGTAACTTTCACGAAATTCACTTTTGCGTGTCATTTTAGGTTTTATTTAATAATCTGTTTGTTCATGCTTGTGCCAAAACACATTTTTTAATTATCAAAGCTTTAAAATTTAGTTGAACATCTGGTAGAGTTAGCTCATCACTTCATTACTCTTAAACAAA